CCTCCATCATGATCAACGAGCATCTCATAATCGCCTAATACCCCTCTTCTTGGAATTCGTATCCTTACTAGAAGTGCGCCAGTCATGGCTGGATCGAATCCTTATTCGAATCCCTCAGGCTCACAGGCTTTTGGCCCTCCCCAACCAGAATGGCGTCTGTCACCACATCCACAGCAGCCAGCGAGGCCTCTGAGCGCCGTATCCCCTCCACCGACTTCAGTCCCGACATACAACCCGAATACGTATGGTCCCATGTCCGGTGCATCTCAAACAAACCGCGACGACCGGCGCAGACCTGTCTCCGGTTCAGCGGCCTGGACAGGTATGGACACCACGGCGTGGGGAGTGAAGTTTAATCGCCAGCCACATATCAAGACACCCCACCACTGCCGGTGAGTGCTCGAAGAAGATAGCTGAACCAACCGAGTGTGACAACTGGAACTAGCCCCTAATTCATGCTGTCGCATAGCCCCGACCCTCAAGTACAAACCAGGACTCGTCTCCGCAGGTGAGCCCGCTGGACTCCCATAGGCCACCGTTTCCGCCGGCGCATAGCCAGCCATGGTTCGCGAACACTCCCTACGCCCCGCCTCAATCCCACTCGGGTGCCGCCTTTCTTCCTCCGCTCCCGCCCCCGCCCCACCTCCCGCCGCCTTTTCAGTACAATGACCTGGCCGAACGACCACCCCCTCAACCCCCGTGGACTTACCAAACACAAGTTACCTCCGAATCTCCTCACTCCACGATCGCTCCCCAGTGCCCCCCAAGACTAGCCACAGCGCTCTTCCCGCCAATCCCCTTACCGGATTTGTCGGGCCTTCGGACTGGGAACATTTTTCTGCCGACCACGGATACATTGAAGATGCAGAAGCAATGCAGCCGAGAAAGGGCACGACCCTTTCGCGGCAGCCGACCGCAACACTGTCCCCGAAAAGTTGCACCGCGGTGCCCAACGCGCCGCCGGCCCACCCGTCCGAGGCCGCTGCGTCACCGTCAAATGTGTCCCCGACGATCCGGGTTGCGCATGCCCATGAGGATACTGGGATGCAGTCCAAGTACTCGCCGGTGAGCCCGGGAGCCGGATACGCACCTCGAGATCCCACCAGGCCCGTCCGAGTAGACAGCGCGAAGTCCGAGTACAGTAGCATTGCCGGCGCTGAGACCGCAGAGCACATTGATGGGCTGATCGAAGCCTGGAATCAGCCGGTGCTACCAGAAACGGAAAGCATGGCCCAAGCGCCATCCCCATTGCAGCAGAAAGCCAGTCCGATAGAAACGCCCAAGTCCGGGCAGGATTTTACGAGCCATCAGAAGAACATGCAACTACGCATAGATACGGGGGGTCCAAGTCCCACCCCTGGTGGCGCAAATGCGCACACAGGGGTGCCGGTGACCCCTGCGAAACCCGTCGATCCTTGCGAGAACTTGGAGCCTTGGTCGAAATCCTCTCTGGAGCGATTTGTGGCAATGCTCCATAAGGAACAGGTCGCCGATTCCGATGCGGAGCGTTAAGATCTTTACTGCATTATGCCAAGGAAACGAGCTCCGAGATTCTATATAATGTCAACAGGTCCAAAACTGAAGAGGACACCGCTAGGCAACAGGACACTTCGGCGCGCGGACGATCAGTGCCGTCACCCTTTTATTACCTGCTTGATACCGGTGGAGCTGAGAAACGCTTCAGACACCTTCGTATCCTGCGGAGGCAGAAGATCCGAAGATGGAAGTTATGTTCCGGCGGCGCCCCATACTACCCGACTGCATACGCCTGCATGTGGATCTGCATAGTCTGCCTCGCAACCAACCACTCGCAAATCGGCCCGACAAAACACACATGCCCCATCTATGCGGTCGACGTCAGTTCCCCGTCAGCGATATACCACAGAAACAGGTTGACACTCTGGCGACAACCCCCCACAAGCAATATATAACCATTCCGCTACACTGAAGGTCCCAGAGGGGCTCTGACAACTGAAGTTCGACGGCTGCACACCAGCTACTCGCTTTGCGCCAGCGTCTGCAGAAAGCGGACGACTCATGGCAACGCGCCGATCCCCGTCCGCGACGCAGCCAGGGCCTGGATAACAGGACGGACCTTCATTGGTCATCCGAGAGAAAAGTCGCCTATCGGACGAGCGAAGGCCAGGAGCATCTTCTCCTCGCTGTTACCAGCTTCCTGCGCAAGGAAAATGCCTGGTCTTTGGATGAATTGCGCTCGATGTTCCCAAGCCTCTCTCCAAACAGTCGGAGAGCTCATGGCATGTCACGAGAAGAGCTCGAAGAGTTCCGGACAATTTAACTATATGGCTGAGATTTAAGTCGACCGAAGAGTCTCGCAGGTCTCGCCGGGAACTAGGACAAAGAGCGAATGCGCCGTCAAGAGGAGTCAGAGGCGCATATCGATGCGCTGTTTAACGACAAGGAAATCGGGTATGCGATTCAATCTCTGGAGAGAATTCGTCAGACAGAACGGCTCAGTTGGAGGAAGAGCGGGCGAACTACGGAATTTATTGCGACTGTTTTTGATCCTTGGATGGTCGATTGAACGAGGAATATCGTCTCTTCGAACCAGTATGATTCAGCATACGAGCTTGAAACGAAAGCAGCAAAATCAAGGGTCAAGCAAGTCGGTCCGTCTGTCACATACGATGAAGACTGTCAATGCGATCTATCAGAAGCTGGAATCCGTTACAAGAGCTTGGGATTGCCTGGATCGCGAGCGTCGCGGAGAAAGGCCGACGACGACCGCTCGTTTTCATGGGCGACACACTTGCTTGAAACGCTCGATAGGAATTCGATAGAGGACGACGAACTTCTGGAAGCGGCCCAAGGATCGCGATGATCGTGCGACAGGCTCATGGACTCTTTCGATGACGCGATCATGCACGGACTAGGGGAGAACCAAAGTCTTATTGATGAGATCTCCGCCAAGGTGACGGATCTGGATGCATCGGCTCTGCAGGCCTCTGGTTTGACCGATGCCGAGATAGAGCAGACATTAAAGTCGGTATTCACTTTGGTTGAATCGCTCCGGCAGGACTCGGAGTCGATACTCCACGATTTCGGCATCGCGGATTCGGGGCTCAACAACGCAGATTACTGTGTCTCTGTCGCAGAGGCACGGTACTCGAATGCCGACCCAAGTGTCTCCCGCAGACTGGACCAGGAGAAGAAGAAAGAAGACGCTAAGATTCAGCGCGATCTTGCCTCCAAGCTGGACAGTATTCGTGCTGGGCCGGCGGAAATCACGTCCAACATCAACAAACTCCTTACGGCCATTGGGAAAGGCCCTGTGGTCGAACAAGAGATCCCATCTGAAGCCGTCCAAACCGACCACCCAATCGACAGTCTGCTCCCTGGGCCTCGAGCACCTACCGTCGGCCCTGGCGCCAACAAACCGACCGGAGATCCGGACCATTGGCAGAGAATTCGAAAAGCACTAGACGACGCAAAGAAGAGAAATGCGGCCAGAGCCAAGACTTAACTCGGTGCAGGTTTCATTTCATCCACAACGGTGACGATGAATTCACGAGGTTACGAATTTCTTTTTATACCCCTTTATACGATTCTTTCTCGCATTCCCATGCGTTACAACATATAATTGAAGGGTAGGATCCTACATGTAGATTCCATTGGTTTCAAGATAATCCTTCAGCCTGAATTTGTACTTACCACCCAATATTTGAATAGTAGTTGAGCCGTTTGTTTTTCTTCATTGTATTGGTCTTAGCTTAGTAGGTAGTACTTCTGACAAATAGTAGTAATGTCTTGATCTTCAATGCAAAGACCCTCTTTTCATCTTGGGCGACCTTTATATTTTCGCGTGGATTATTCAATTAGGCAGCAGAGTAGGTAGGCTACTAGGCCGTGAATTGCCAGCTCAATACTGCGATCACTGTGAGTCCTCCACAAGGCTTGGATAGCACACTCATTCCACCACGAGCGACTGGTAATGAACTAACATAGAGTCCTGTCTTCTAAGTCCGTGGCTGATAATCACACGCTCATAGAACCTGCCGAAAAGTATCTGCGCCGCGCGCCCCTCAACGAGCTTGACAACGCAGTGCGCATTCGCTGAAAGCCTTATTGTGCCGCTTTGGTCTTTACGCAACGATTACCTGGGTATGCAGAGAATACACAAACTATGAAGAGGATTATACTCCTACTGCAATATACCAGCCTCATCCATCATTGCCCGTCTATGGGTACTACCGTCTGTATGCCGCGTAAATGACGGGTGCAAGAACGCTCAGGTGGCTCGCTCTACAGCCAAAGTGTATATTACCATAACAGTCACATAGACCCCGTTCATGTGGTAGGCATGATAAACCAAGTATGTGGCTCTGGCTTTTTGTAAGGCACGGTCTAGATATTATCCAACACTCATGGCCTTTAACATTGCCCTTTCAGGCCTCATACATTGCTACCGCAACTCCCATACGAGTGCGGCGCATGGAACATAACTATCACTTGCGGGAGGAAAGTCCGAAGACAAAGGAAGAGGATCTACCCTGCGCCTGCGCCACACTGGACGTTGACAAAGGAAGTATATCCTCTTGTCGATTGGTTCCTGTGCTAGTTTTGCGTGTTCAACCGTGTACCACGAAGAGACCTAAACCCGTGACCAACGATTCATGCGTCAGCTCTATTTGGTTGCTTGTCCTGCACGGTTCTTGGAAGCTGGATATCTCGACGGTCCTTTGCCATAGTGACACCATCTGGCACAGATCTCGAATTACTGTATTGAAATCTCATGTCCATCGGGCATCCTTCCTCTCGTTTAAGTCTGGACTGTTCCTGTGCCGCGTGCCACGGATTTATTAACCCTGGATAGCGAGACTAGGGTTCCGGTTCCTAGGCGTAGGATACGCAATGACGAGCCATCTCCTGTGCCCTTGAAAGATTGGCAATACTGGTGTCTGCGCAGCCCTGCGAGATTCCATGGAAGGCCGTGACCATGCGGCAAAGGCAGACGCGGCTGAAAGTGCGGCGCATGCCATTATTATCTCGGTTTCTGGATAAGTGTGGGTCGCATATACAGATCGAATTACGATGTGCCAGTCAGTGGTAGCTGTGGTTCAATTGCCCGCTCTCATCCATGGTTCGTGATAACTCTATAAATCCTCGGCTCGGAACAGGCAGTTGCTCTACCACATTCGACAACATTTGCTCATTTCGAGATTACGAAAGTATTGATTCAAGCAATTCAAATCCCATTCAAACAATCGATCCTCTCATGTCACTCCCTACCAGGCGTTTGCACCGGCTCTCGATTAGCAGCGACATGCCCGATCGACGTTTCCCGGGGAGGGACCTGCCCGTCCTGACAGTGGGCAAATCGAAAGCAGCTCAGAGGAGAGCGAATCAGAAGAAGAAGCGTCTCCTGAAAGGTCTACGATACAGGGGAGCTCCGGAATTAACTACAGCCTCGACAGGCTGGACAACGACGCCGAAGCGAGAGCTCTTGTCGGGCTAGCGAGCGAGTTCGATATAACCACTTGCAGTAGATGGCCGACGGGGTATCATTTTCAGCTCTCGGAGCATCGACAGGTGCATGTGGTCCGATGGCTATACTTGTACTTGCTTGACCTTTGTGAGCCGTCCTAATGTGGCGTGTCAGCACATTTTCGTGAGTTCACCGCGCTTGAAGCACATTCCTCCATGCCATACTAAGACCAAACCAGTGGCTTCTCGACAGACTTCACAGCAACTTCACCCCCAAGACACCCTAACACCATCCCACTATCAACCGACGGCCACCCCCAGGCCACCCCGCATCGAACGCCTCCTCCACGAAAACTAGAGCAGATCGCAGACCAGCACAACTGCCCTACATCCGCTCCGAATCCGAAGGCGGCATGACCCGGCCTCAAAAGGTAAAAGACATCATAACAGCCTTCAGCGCAACCATCCTTCCAGAAGACTTCCGCCCCGACCTCACAGACGACCCCGCCCACCGCCGCACCCCAGAGCAGTGCGTCGTCCAGGGCGACTTCGAAGCCACGATGTTCAGACTAGCTACCCACGACGACGCGGTCTACTCCCGTCTGTGCAAGGCAATGCCCCCGGCGCCTGCGCAGCTATCTACTTTGATAAAATCCAGGGCCAATCTCGCAAACTACTCGCTGATTTCGACCGCTACGCCCTGACGGGCCACCTCCCCGCTGATGACAACAACAACACCAACCCCATAGACGTCCGCACCGTCCTCCACAAAATCCAACTCAACGTCTACCGTATCCAAAGCAATATCATCGCGCGCGCCCCGCACGGCACAGAAAGCGCATCCAAGGCCCTCATCACGCTCCTCGAAGACATCTGCAGTCGCAACAAAGACGCCCTAGACGGCAACAGATGGGGCCGGACGACCTTCCACGGCGAAGACGAGGACAGCCGCAATCTGTACCATCAGCTTATCGGCACTGCCGAGGAGACAGGGCGCTGCTTTGTGCTCGACGCCCTGGAGCATCTGCCTGCGTCGGCGCTCCACCAGTTCCGGGATCGGTTGATGGCTGTTCAGCGTAAGGCGGAGGTGAACCGTGCGCCGAAGGCGTATATATTGAAGCTTGGGGGGCTGGTTCGGAGGGCTGAGGCTGTGGGGCTGTGCTGGGTCAGAAACGGTTGTCTACGGCTGCGCCTAGGGGGCAGAGTAAACGGACGCGGTAGGGGTGGGTTGGTTGATGGGCTGGGTTGAGTCTGGTTGGGCTGTGGAATTTGTGTGGTTTACTATCATAATACCCAGTGTTCTTGTGATTTTTGTTAGAGATTGTTATTGAATGGTTGCTCATATCGCGCTTT